TGCGTGTGATGCTTCTGCTGCTGCTTTGCTATATTTGCTGTGATCTGTGGGTAAAAGGTGTGAGCTGTAGTTGTGTGCAGCTACGAGGCGGTTTCCTCGTACAGTGTGAGTTCACAGCTCACGATGTATGTGTAGCAAGACGCTCTGATCCGATCTACCTGCTCACACTGTACGTCTAAAAACCCAGTCAAACTCAGCTCCACAGTGAGATAGAGCTACTTGAATGAATAGAAGAGGAATATAAAGCTCACTAGAGTGAAAACCGCTGCCTTGGAAATTTTTGCAATTTCTGAAAGCCCTAATAAGAAAAGGCGACGATGCATTTGGACAAAGACATGGCTGAGCAAACGTGGCTACCACGGTCTGTCAAAGTTACAGAAAGAACTCCATTTCACTCATTGCACCCCCGCCATGCTTCTGTGTTTTTATCTGAGAGGAAGAAGAATCCTCGCCTCCGCACTGAGCGATTTGCCCACGACGGCCGACTGAAAATCAAACATGTTTGATTTTCTCTCGACCTCACGATTTCTGATCAGGAGGTGGTTATAAGAGGGTGATCGTTACCCCCCCCCCGTACACGGCGCATGACCAGGCTAAAAGTCGGCCCGATCGGTAAATTCTCGTACGACTGGAAAGTCAGCCCGAATAGGGCAAAAAAATCGCACAGTGTAAGCCCGGCTTAAGAAAGTCCACCTGAAAACTTCCTGTGTTCAGTCAGTTTATCAAGATTACCATCCTGCAATCAAATATTATTTTGCTGTCGGAGACGCTCAAACCCCCGTACACCAGGGTGCCCTGTCACTGGGAATCCCCTTCAACAGCAGCCTCTAGCCCGCTCGCCTCTTCCCGATTTTCCAGCTTCTCTGATTGGTTGATGAGGCGCCTCAAGCAGAAAAAGTTCAATTTTTCCAATTCCAGGAGCTGCTGCTTCTGAAGCGCCTCACATCAGATGCTTAGCTAGTCAATACGTGCTGCAGGAGCTTTTCACTGGAAACATTATCTAAACTATCTTTATTTGAGTAGGTAAATTAGATTGTTTTTACTCTTTAAATAAGATAATTAGATAATATGCGCTTGAAATAAGAGAATACAATTGTGTTTTCTTATTTTAAGTGTAAATTGTCTTGTCCCATTTGCAAAATGTCTCTGTTATCTCCTCAATCCAAGAACAAATGCACTCATTTGAAGAAAAATGACTTTTTCTAGATTTCTAAATTTTCCAATGTTGCTGCGCCTTGATGTGCATCAACCATTGATCCTGCATGTAAACCAGCTGCTTCTGCAGCCTGTGGTCTGAGTGTAGCAATATTGACGGTTATCTTACCCTCTACTCTTTAACCACTTGTTTCAGCTTTTCTCAGCCTGCAGAGGGGATTTTCTTAAACATCCATCATTGAGATCATTGTTCTATTTTTCCAGCTGTGAATATCACTGGGTAGCAGTAACTGCTTCTTGCTCTGGTGCAGCATGTTCAGAGGAGGCCTCACTCTGATGATCAGTTTCCACGCTTACTTATGAATCCAGCTCCATTTTTGTTGAGTCGATAATGATGATGTGAAATCTGCTGTGGGATTTTAAACTTCAGATCAACATCAACCTTTACTGTGTAGTTTGATCAAGTTTTTAATAAAGAACAGAGATCAACCCCTTCTTGCCAAATAAAGTGACTTTTAATTTATATTCATAGGTGGTGGGAGGGGAAGGGAGACAAAGAAACTGTGGGTACAATGATGATTATGATTAAAAAATAAATAGAAAATAATGGCAATTACAATGTGTTACAAAATATGTGTAGTTTACATATTTAAAAAAGTCTTTTTTTCTTTCCTTTCTAACAAATTTCAAGTTAAATAGTCCATCATTTCCAAATATAACATCACGGTTGCTCATAATTGGCAAATAACGTTTGTTTTTTTTTGTAGTTACCTCGTCAAGGCAACGCCGGACCGCAAACGAAGCGGCTGCAAAAACCGTCCATTAAAAACAAAACTTTACAAAGTAGAATAAGGAACCAACCATTGCATCTTTTACTGCGTGACCTAGTGCCAGCGCAGTTTCTGTCATACATGCATCGTGTATCTAGGTGTGTATGACACTGATGTTTTTACAACAGCTTTATAGATTTCTAACATATAGAATGTATACGGTGCCGACAATGATCCATTATCCAACTAATGACATTAAAGTTACCATGATTAACAATTCTTTTGATACACACACGTTCTCTAATGAAAACAGCTGATTATACAGTACATAAACCCGCATCTGGATGGGTTATACATGTCAAACAGACAATGGCAGAAAAAGGCCGTCACACACAGCTCTGAAAGCCCCGACAGAGAGAAGGAACGTTGGTTTGGTGCTTGTGTTGGGGGGTTGTGTTGTTTTGATCACAGTGCTGATGGATGTCGCAGACACGGCGAACCTGAACGCTGAGGCTGTGCTCTCATTTTGCTCTAGTTTTAAGACGTCTTTTCAAGGAAATCCCATAAAAAGGGTAGAAATATCCTGATCAGCAATGACCGCTGTAGCTACCAGATCTGCTCGGGTCCTGCTTCATGCTAGTTATACTACATGATTGGCTGAACGTTGCCATGTGATGTAAAACATAGTGGTTGCCCAGACAACGATAATAACATCACGCGGCATCCATTAGCGCGTCTAATGACCAATGGAGTTTTACCTGATCTATTATAAAACTGAAAAAAAAATCAGTTTATGGTGAACAGATTAACTGCAAGACCATGATATAAAAGGGGGAGAGCTGGGTAGCGCTGTGGCTAGCTGTGCTCAGGAGCTAACAGGTTAGCAGAGATGGGAACTAACGAAGTACAAATACTTCGTTACTGTACTCAAGTAGATTTTTCTGATATTTTTACTTTACTTTACTACTTATTTTTAT